AAACAAAGAAAACTACCATTTGGTACAGGTGTTCATAAATCTAAGTCTATTCTTGAATATCTATATGATGATCTGTGGGGACCAGCTACTGTGAATACCTATTCTGATTTCAAATACTTCTTACGGATTGTTGATGATTTTTCAAAGAAGACCTGGGTTGCCCTTTTGAAAAATAAATTAGATACTTTTCAAAACTTCATAGCTTGGAAAACCTTAATTGAAAACCAGGTAAACAAAAAGGTTAAATCTCTTAGAACTGCAATGAGGAATTTGATAATTTCTGTAATAATAATGGCATTTTAAGGCACAGGACTGTCACCTATACCCCCACAACAGAATGGTCTAGCAGAAAGGATGAATAGGACCCTGTTAGAAAGAGTTAGGTGCATGTTAATTAGTGTAAAACTTCCAAAATTGTTTTGGGGGAGCTGTTAAATCTGCATCATATTTGATAAACAAATGCCTCACAAAATCCTTAAATTATGATACTCCTGATCATGTTTGGAGTGGTCACTCTGTTGATTACTCCAAACTGAAAGTTTTTGGTTGTGTAGCTTATGTATACCAAAATGAGGGTAAACTTGAACCTAGATCAATTAAAGGCATTTTCTTAGGATATGGTGAGGGTGTAAAATGTTACAGAATCTGGGTTAAGGATCAGGGAGATTACAGAGTCATAATCAGCAGAAATGTAATCTTTAATGAAATGGACATGCCCTGTACTAAAGAAAAAGCACCTGCAGCTCCTCAAATAAGTGAAAATGATTCATATCTTCAATCTGAAATCTCTCCACTCATCTCAGATCTTGCAACTAATGACCAGATTGAGGTGGAGCCTGCTCATGAATAGGAAATAGCCCCTGAACCTGAATCTGAACATGAGATTGAACCTGAACTTGTTCTACCAATAAATCTCTTAGAAGACTATCAACTTGCTAGACATAGAGGAAGGAGGGAGATAAGACCACCTACGAGATATAATGAATTAGATTTTGTCACAGCTCAAAACATTCAGAATTTTTTAAACAATGAACCTAATTCCTATGAAGAGGCTATTGGGGGAAAAATTCAAATTCTTGGCTTGCAGCCATGAAAGATAAAATGCTTTCACTTGACAAAAATAAGACTTGGATCTTAGTTAATAAACCAAAAGGAGGAAAGGTTATTGATTGTAAATAGATTTGCAAAATCAAAGAAGGTGACTTAAAAGAGGAAAATGTCAGATTTAAGACCAAACTACTTGCAAAGGGTTTTAACCAAAGAGAAGGATTTGACTATAACGAAATTTTCTCACCTATAGTCAAATACACTTCTATAATAATTCTTCTTTACATTGTTTCACAATTTGATTTTGAATTGGAATAGTTAGATGTAAAAATTGTTTTTTTTTTTTTTTACTTGGTAACTTAGAAGAAAAAAATTATATGACCCAACTTAATGGTGTTGAACAAAAGGGAAAGGAAAATTGTGTCTGCCTTTTGCAGAAATCACTCTATGGGCTGAAACAGGCTCCTAGACAGTGGTATATCAGGTTTGATACTTTTATAAAAGGTCTTGACTTTAATAGGAGTGAATATGATCTTTGCTTCTATTATAAAGGTGGTGGAGGTCCTGATTCTTATTATTTTTTGTTTTACGTTGATGCTATATTACTTGTTGGGTGTGATGTAACTGAAATAAACAATATTAAGCAAAAGTTAAAACAAGAGTTTGAAATGAAAGACCTAGGATCAACTAAAAGAATTTTAGGAATGGAAATTATGAGAAATAGAAGTAACTGCACACTATTTCTAACTCAAGAGTCATATATTTCCAAAATTCTATGTAAATTTGCTATGGATAAGGCAAAAGAAGTTACCTCACCACTTGGCAGTCATTTTAAATTCTCTACTGAACAGTGTCCTAAAACTGAGATAGAAAGAAATAAGGTAGATAAAATCCCTTATGCAAATGTTGTAGGTTCAGTAATGTACATTATAGTTTGCACAAGGCCTGATCTTACTTTTGCTATAAGTGCATTGAGTAGATATATGAGTAATCCTGGTAAACAATATTGGGAAGGTATGAAATGGCTACTTAATATCTAAAGGGAACTTCAAACTTAAGACTAATGTTTGGAAAAAGGAAAACTGGGATTAAACTAAAATGATTTGTAGATTCTGATTTTGTTGGTAATTGTGATAATAGAAAATCAACATCTGCATATGTCTTTACTTTGAATGATACCTGCATAAGCTAGAAATCACAGTAGCAGAAGATGGTAGCTCTGTCTTCTACAGAGGCTGAATATATTGCAGCCATAGATGCTGTTAAAGAAGATATTTGGTTGAAAAATCCGTTGGATGAAATTGGCTTTACTGGTAATGATGCTTAAATACATTCTGACAGCCAATTTGCTATACATCTTAGTAGAAATCATGTTTTTCATGATAGAACAAAACACATAGATGTCAAATTTCATTTTATAAGAGACATTATAGAAAAGGAGATCATAAAAATTGAAAATATTTTCATTAAGTGTAATCCAACAGATATGGGTACAAAAATACTTCCTATACATAAATGTAAGGATTGTTTAAATCTCCTAAATATTATTTCTAACTGAAATTTCTTTGGCATGTACATAGAGCATATGATATCAAAGGAGAAGTTAACCTCTAGTCCACAATGAAGCCCAAAGGTGTCAAGCAAGGTAGAGATTGTTAAGAATAATGCTTAACACCTTAAGGCCCAATGATGGAACCCAACAGTTGAGCCCAATTTTGTTTGTGACCCGATTTGCGCCACTTGTGTAAACTCGTGTTTCCTCCAAATGCAACTTTAGTTTGTCTTTATTGGATGGATCAGATGGTGCCAAGTGGAGTCGATTGAACCGTTGGATGCAAGTGACTTTTCATTATACTTAGCCCTAGACTTTTTACTTACTTGTTATTTGAGAGACTTCTAGGGTTATCTTCTTCTTTTGCTCTCTGTAATTTTCTCTCTCGAAAACTTCTGGTTTTTGGGTAGTAATCTCTGGATCATTAAATGTTCTTGGTGAGATCTAGTTTCGTATACTTGGTGTAGAGATTATATCTGTCCTTGGTTGAACAGTGAGGTTCGATTACTTGGTGTAATCCGTTTGTTTGATTCTGTGAGGGAAAATAGGGTTTGAGGGCTGATCTTTTTAGATATGTGATTTGTAAACCTTGTGCCGATACTTTGTTGCTGGTTTTTAGTGGGTTAGAGCGTTAACCACTTTGGTGGAAGTTCAATGTGGTGATGTAACCCATTTTTGGGTGAATATCTGGGCTTACGGGTGAAAAATCCTTGTGTTCTTTTATTTTTTTTGTGTTTTTCTTGGATTATTGGGACTGTTAATACCGACAGTATACAAGCCTATTTTTTTATATATATAGTTGGGGAATCCTTAATCTCCATCGACCTTTCTTAGGGTAATCTAAAAACTCACTATGGACATGCAAATGTAAAGTGCCCCAAAAAAAAAAAATTACTATTGATGACGTGACTTAGTATGAGCCCAATTCCATCCATAACTTCTACAGATGACTCGTAACATGGCCTGCTAGCAGCCCGGGAATTTGCGGGTCCAAGAGGCTAAGCTATTTTGACAGAGTAAATTTAACCAATAATCACTGAACTTTACACTTGATTACTACTTGCTCACTCATCTTTCACAGATTACTGAATGCTCACTCATCTTTTCATATAATTACTCATTCACCACTCGTCTCTTCAAATAATTGGGCGACTTTTACGGCAAATTTTCGACAACTTTCGACCACAAAGAATGTCGAATTTTGATACCGTTGGAAAGCCCGCGATATCCTCTTCAATTACCACCCAAAATCTCATTATAACTCCAAGGGATTCGATCGAAAAATTGCCTTAAAAGTTGCCCAAAAATTTTGAAAATCTGCCCAGATTTTCAGATTTTTTAGGCAACTTTTAAGGCAAATTTTCGGCAACTTTCGACCATCAAAACTATCGAATTTTGATACCATTGGAAAGCCCACAATGTCCTCTTCAATTACCATCCAAAATTTTTCCATAACTCCAAAGGATTCGGTTGGAATAAACCCACAAAATCAGCATCTTGAAAAGGCGAAAATATGGACAAAGTTCGGGACGCTGACTTTGTGAATTTATTCTGACCGAATCCTTTAGAATTATCGGGAAATTTTGGGAGGTAATTGAAGAGGATATTGTGGGCTTTCCAATGGTATCAAAATTAGATAGTTTTGATGGTCGAAAGTTACCGAAAAATTGCCTTAAAAGTGGCCCAGAAAATCTGGGCCGATTTTCAGATTTTTTGGGCGACTTTTAAAGCAATTTTTAGATCGAATCCCTTGGAGTTATAATGAGATTTTGGGTGGTAATTGAAGAGGACATCGTGGGCTTTCCAACGGTATCAAAATTCGACATTCTTTGTGGTCGAAAGTTGTCGAAAATTTACCGTAAAAGTAGTCCAATTATTTGAAGAGACGAGTGATGAATGAGTAATTATATGAAAAAGATGAGTGAGCATTCAGTAATATTTGAAAGATGAGTGAGCAAGTAGTAATCAAGTGTAGAGTTCAGTAATTATTGGTTAAATTTACTCTATTTTGACACGTTATTGCTTTTTGCTTAATAATTTGCAAAAATAGGATTAGAAGTTGATCTACAGCCAAATAGCTTGAGAAAGAAATAAATAATAATAAAAAATAAATAAATAAAGGAAGAGAGAGTATAATTAATTGATTGAAAAATTCCAGACTTTTATTGATTTTTCAAATGTATGACACCAACCTCAGGGTGCTGCCGACGCACTCCCCGTTTTGTCCTCACTCTCCATTCTTAATTTCTCCTTCTGTTTCTCTGGTTGGCTCCTTTGTCTCTCTCTGATTTTATTGATGCATCTGTTTTCATTATATTTTTTCTTCTCCTGAAACCCTTTGCTTAGCGTCTCATTCAAAGGTTTGTTCTCTTACTCTGCATTCTTGGTCTGCTTATTTTACCTCTTTTTGATGTCCACGTTTCATTCTGTCACCTGGGTCTTATCGAATTTGATGTTTTATATGATTACCAATATATTTGTTTCTTTCAGATATGCGAGTGTATGATTTTGTATAAATTGATTTCTTGTTATACCTTTTTTCCTTGGGTTTTTAAGACGAATGAAATTGGTCACTGGACTCCGTCAACTTTCCGTTTTAGATTAATATGAACTTGTCTTGGTTCAAGCAAAGTATTCGGATTTCTGAGAGTGATTTTACAGTTTTATGCTTGTTTTGTATTTCTAATAGGTTATAAATTGGTTAAATTACTGACATTGGAATGAAGTTTTGGTGATCACCTTTAGCATTAATTTGGTCTATGGGCAGCAGAAAATTCAAGAAATTTATAAATATCAAAATTAACGACAGAACCAGTTTTTATTTAGTGATAATCTATATTGAAAGCTCCACTGCACAAGATGGCGGACATCTAGAACACGAGTACCATATTGGCTAGACAGGGGGATTACAAAAGATTGAGCTACTCCGATCCTAATATAACTGCAAGACTCAGTACAAGGCTCTTGTACGTATGTGATCGAAACTCCTTGTCATAACCACACAAAGCTGATATTCAATCTTCCCAAACCAGGATTCGACATGCCATAAATCATTTTGAACTTGTTTTCAAGTTTGAACTTTGAACTATTCTCTCCCTTTTCACACTTTTTAATCTTGATGTTTAGTGTTGGCCTCTAATTTTGATTTAAATTTGTAGATTACCTTTTCTCTCTCTTTATGATTTCCTTGCTTGATACAAGATGATCTTACATTTTCTTCACCTCTAAATGTATGAAGTTTCTAAAATAATTTTCTTCAGGCAGACTGGTTATTTATTAATTGAATCTGAGTGATACGCTAGAACTTTCTTGGTGTGTGGTTACCATGACTTTCAAGAAAATGGAGATTACCAATGTTATGGAGTATGAGACCATTGCAAGGGAGAAACTACCAAAGATGGTTTATGACTATTATGCCTCTGGTGCGGAAGATCAACGGACTCTCCAAGAGAATCGAAATGCTTTCTCTAGAATACTGTAATATGCCTCCTTCTTCAATTAGCATACAATTGAATCATCAATATCTTTTCCAATTTCTCTTTTTGTTATGTGCTCTTGAGTTTACTCTTCTTTTTCAGGTGTTTTCATCGTTTGCCTTTAAAAATTGTATTCTTTATTTAACGTAGGTTCCGGCCTCGTATTCTAGTTGACGTTAGCAGCATTGATACAACCACAACCACCTAGGGCTTCAAGGTCTCGATGCCTATCATGATCGCTCCAACAGCTATGCAGAAAATGGCTCACCCTAAAGGCATGTATAGCTCTTCTTAAACTCACTCTAAGAGCTGGCTAATTGATGCAGTTAGCATGCCTGAATTGCTGGGATCCGGGACAACAAAATTTAAGTGACCGTCTATGGATTTTTATATAGTGTATTTTCCTATATGGCATCTCAACATGTAGTAGAGATGCAACTCATAATTTATGGATGGAAACACTTCCTGATGTATTTCCTTGAACCGATATACATATAAGATGCATTTGACTTGTGTGCTTTGGTTCTTTGTGTTTTTGATCAATACTATTCCTCAATCGTTGACATGTAGTGAACCACCTCATCTAAAAGCGTAAGCTGTCATATAGAAATTGTTTATTTATTTAGATTTAGTCTTAACCCCCCACCACGTCCCACCTACATCATGCTGGATACATTTTTTATCAAAAGCCTGACACTTATCATTTTTACAAATGGGTGGTGGCGAGATTTAAACTACCCTTGCTTGCTCAGTTACCCTATTGAATACATAATAATTTATTTAAACTTAGTCTTTGACAACTTGTTTTACAGAAATCTTTCTCCTTTGATTGGGATTCTTACTCCTTCTCTGAAATCTAATGTTACTTTGATGCAGGAGAGCTCGCGACAGCAAGAGCAGCATCAGCCGCTGGCACCATCATGGTTTGGATTTCTATTCGCCTTCATTTTTCGTCTTTTCTACATGCTGTGATATTTGTTATTGATTATATGTAGAGATTCGAACATGATTACTATTGTTGAGCTACTGATTGATGCATGATTGCATATTACAGACATTATCCTTATGGGGTACTTCCAGCATTGAAGAGGTTGCCTCAACAGGACCTGGGATTCGATTTTTCCAACTTTCTGTGAGTTTCACTTCCATTAGTTCGTTAATCCAATTGCTATATGCTTCTCTCATTGTGTTGGCCAGTATGCCACTGTTTTTATATCTCTTTGCCACTGTATATTGAATGAGCATCTGTATCAAGGATAAATTTCAGCTGATTACAGATATTTTTCTTTAATTAGGTTTGCAAAGATAGGAATGTTGTCATACAGCTTGTGAAAAGGGCAGAAAGGGCTGGTTTCAAGGCAATTGCCCTTACAGTAGATACCCCAAGACTGGGACGAAGAGAAGCTGATATCAAGAACAGGTGATTTTGTGGAGACCAAAACTGGCAATACAGTTGCTTGCTTGATGTTTTATTTAGCTACTAAATTTGCCGATGTAACAGATTCACTTTGCCATCCAACTTGACTTTGAAGAATTTTGAGGGATTGGATCTTCGAAAGATAGATAGGGTGAATAAGCTTAAAATTACGTCTTACGATAATTTTTTTTTAAATTTAATTATTATTTGTTTTATGTATTATCTATTTTAATCACAGTATTACTGGGATGGCTGCAGACTGATGACTCTGGACTCGCTTCATATGTCACTGGCCGAGTCAACCGATCTCTCAGCTGGAAGGTAATAGTGCCGTTGCTCTCTTTGCATTAATTGAACAATGGAATAAAGTGTCAAACGATATTCTTGGGAATTCCTTGCAGGATGTGAAGTGGCTCCATACTATCACTCGATTGCCAATTCTAGTAAAGGGTGTGATAACTGCTGAGGATGGTAGGTGTAGTACCATACAAATGATTACAGTATTTCCTGTTGCTCAACTCCCTAATAATCTACATACTTTTCATATTTTTAGCAAGTCTAGCTGTACAAGCTGGAGCAGCTGGAGTCATTGTGTCAAACCATTGGGCTCGACAACTTGACTATGTCCCTGCAACTATAATGTCATTGGAAGAGGTTTCTTTACTAA